GGAACCTCGTCGGGCAGGAAGCAGACAAAATCACACGGATCCACTGGGATAAGTTCAAACGTATCAGACCAATCAAGATTAGAAGCCTGCAGTGGCTGATTGTGTACGCAGCCCTTCCRGTGAACCAATGGCTACATATCAGSAGGAAATCTACAGACCCCAACAGCTCRGAATTATGTACAATATGCACTGAAGGTGTCGTAGAGGACATAGTTCACTGCCTGGTACACTGTAAAGAGGCTACGGAATACTGGGTCAAAGCCTCAACACTCTGGGACTCCCTCTTCTCCTCTCCCTTCCCCAAGCAGCCCATCCAACTCCTCCTCTTGACTAACATCCCTGTTCAGGTGCAAAAGGCAGAAAGGATCTGGTTTGAACTCATCAGGAAAGTGACTCTACGGGTCATTTGGAAGGAGAGATGCAGCAGGACAATTGAGGGGAGATCCAACCCACGGGAGAAGGTGTGGACAGAAACCAGATCGCTGATACAAGCCGAGATCCTCTGCAGATGGCGGAAGATAAAACGAGCTTGGACAGATGACGAAGAGCAACGTAACAAGGAGAGGCAGAAATTCCACAGGAATTGGTTGATAAACGGCAAGATTGCAGAATTGCGAGAGGACCGAATTTGCTGGAGGGAGTGGCATAACTCTGTCTCAGTAAGAGGCGTTAGCCAGCTGGCAACTTCCCAGGGCATACTAGCATCCTAGACCTCGACAGAAGGAAAGGGGGCCCAAGGGACACGAACCGTGAGGAGTCAAGGGAGAATTCAGGACCATTCTGCCCAGGGTTGAATCTGGGAGCATAAACAGAAGAAGGGTTTTGGGTTTAAGGGTTTTTAGAAATCCTCCAAAAGGGACAGAGAGGTGTGTCGAGAAGTTACAGCCCGGCAAGGCCTCCGAAGGGGTTCTGTTTAGGGATAAGGGTGCAAAGGTAAGAGAGACAGTGGAAGACAGACCTAGCTCTACCAGTAATTCACACAGATTTGACAGCCTTACAGCTGAGAGGCAGAA